AGCCAGCCTCCGGGAGAGTGCTGCAGGCAGCCCTGCTGAGTGCGTGGTGGCTAGAAGGATGAGTGACATCAGAGAGGGGACTCCAGTGTTGGGATGAACACTGGGGACAAACCGCCGGTGTGGACAGTCAGTCCTGAACCTGGCCCTGCCTGATCAACCCCCTCCTGCCAGTCCTGAAACAAAACACAGGCCAAGCTCAGAGTTCTGACTCACGGTGACCCTGTGTGCTCCCTCGGGGCTTCTGGCCTGTGACCATTATGGAAGCCACAGCCGCCAGGCCTTTCTTCCGTGGTGACAATGGGTGGGCTTGCATTGCCAGCCTCTGTATTAGTGCTGCTCTGGTTAGTGCCAGCATCCAGTCGACCCTGTGTGCCACAGGGCAGACCTGCTCCCTCGGGGGCTTGTGGGCCTTTCTGCCACAGTGCTGCCGGGTGGGGTCAAACCATAGCCCTCCTGGTTAGTAGTTGAGTGCAAACCTCCTAAGCTACTCAGGGACCTTCTCTGTCAAGACTGCGCTGTTTTCCTTTGTATTTTTTCCCGCCCTATGTTACAGGGCTTCTCAATTTCCATGCTGGTGCTGTACTGGCCTTTCGATCACAGACCCTTTGGGTATCCATTGTAAAAGCCATGCAGCCTCTCCCCCCACAAATGCATGCACCCCAGTGCCTCTTTAAGGAGTCCGCCCCGGCCCCCTCCTGAGAGGGGAATGCGGAGGCTGGCTCCTGTTTGCATGCCTGCTGCCAGGCAGGCGGGCAGGCGCAGGGGAGGCACAGCACTAGACTTGGCAGTCTGTGTAGCCCTGTCGTTTGCATTCACCCAACTCTGGTAGGTGGACCAGTGCCCATCCCCCAAAGATTTCCACATCCTAATCCCAGGAAGCTGGGAAGAGGTGGCTGGCTTGCAGGCCAACATCCCACAGGCATGGACGAGGAGGAAAATCACCCTCTGCCGCCCCGTCCATTCCCACCCCCGTTGACCTCGCAGGGCTTCCCAAGGCTGCGGTCAGTCGTGACAGAAGCAGACTTCCTCCCAAGAAGCCAGTGTTTCTCTCAAGGAGCAGCTGGTGGTTTCAAACTGCCGACACACTTGTTGGCAGTGGAGCACTTAACCACTGCGCCACCAGGGAGCCTTCTGAAAAAGAGCCACCCCAAACCCCACGGTCACAGCCGCGTGCCCTCACTGAGGGCTGCTTACCTCCACCCATGGAGCTAGCAACAAAAGGATTAGACAGCTCCTGGCCAGCAGCTCCTTATCTCTGCTCCTCTCCCCCATCTTGCCCCCCGCCCCCCTTGTGGGAGTCTGCCCCAGGGCAGTGCTAAGGAGCTTCACCTAGTCTTGGAGTTTGTTCTGTTTAGTAGAAGTAGGGAAATCAGAATGTGCAGAACACTGTTGGTTGAAATGAGCCCCAGTGGGCAGCCCTTCCTCCCAGCCCCTGCCTTGTGTGAGCACTTTCCCTTGTGACCCCCATTCTCCAGGACCTCCTGTGTCTTGCGCAGGAGAGAGACAGGCTGGCTGCTCCCGTAAAGAAACCCACGGGGGCAGTCGTGCTCTGCCGTCTGGGGTCGCTGTGTGTCTGAGTGAGTTTAGTGCCCTGGGTCTGACATGGCACTGCTGGGCTGCAGTGCCTGCCAGGTCCGCTCCTGCCCTGGTGGCGATGGGCCGAGGGGTGGGGGTGGCTCGGGAGAGCTTTGTTTGGAGTATTCCGTGAGATGCCATGAAGGGAGGGGGGCTTACCAGGGGATGGAGTGGAATGGAAGCCAGAAGTCAGGGATGGGGGTGGGCGAGGTGTCCATGCACCGTGCTCACCCCGTGGCTCCCCATCGGGGCTGAGTTATAGAGGCTGGGTTCGGACCCCTCCCTGCTCCACCACCCCATTCAGTACATGGATTTGTGACCACATGGACAGGGTCCCAGAGCCCTCCTGTGTGTGAAGAGTGACTGAGCCTTCAAATGGGGGTCACAGCAGCGGATCCTGGGGTCCCTGTAGTTGGGGAAGAGGGAGGGGGAGCATTGAACATGTTCCAGGCCCTTGCTCAGTATTTATCCCAGAACCCTAAGAGGGAGGTCTTACTGCTCCATTTCACAGGTAAGGAGACTGAGACCCAGAGAGAGAGAGAGAGAGAGAGAGGGGCGCTGAATGTTTTACCTGGTGGCCTCATGGAGACTTCCCAACTGAAAGTTGTCATCGTCCCGGCCCATCTGCACCAGGACGGGACATTGCAGGGCCAAGACACAGAGGGGCTTGTTTCCTCAGAGGTCTGTCTGGCTCTGGACAGAGCCCAGCCCAGGAAAGACACCTGACAGTCTGCTTTGAAAAGGTTTAAAAAAACAACAACCCCAAAACCCAAACCAAACTCATTGCAGGGAGTAGAAAGCCCCATCATGGTTACAGCCCAGGAAACCCTTCAGGGCACCTGACAGCAACATCTGGCCCCAGAGTGCATGCCTTGTCACCCCTCAAGCCCAGGAGCCCCATTCTGCACCCTGGCTCCTGTTGGAGCAGGGTGGTCCCCTCATGTCAGTGGAAGTGGTGGGGAGTCACTGGGGTGGGCCCTGCTCTGGTGTCTTTGGGTGGTGTGTTAGGCCCCTCTGTGGCCGGGACTGGCAGGAAATCTGGCAGCAGGCTTAATCAGAGCCATTTGTGTCTTGGGTTTGCATACTGTGGGCATGGGTGAGGCTTTGGGGGTGGTGGTCTTGGGGGAAATACTCTGCATGAGGCTCCACTGAGTGTTGAATGACTTGGGGCAAATTTGACTTTCTGAGCCTCAACTTTTGCCATGTGGAGAGCAAACAGAAAGAGCTGGACTTCAGATGGTCCTTACCGAAGTAGCTCCACAAACATGTAAAACCGAACAAGCAGCGCCCACTGGGACCTTGTCAAGAGCCACCCATCATCCCCGCACTGCACCACAGCAGAGCTCCGGCCCCACAGCGCACTGCCTGAGGAGCTCTGAGCAGTGGGGCGCAGACCCGCGGGGGTCGCTGTGTTGGCCCTATCCAGGCAGTGGGTCACGTGTTGGGCTGCTACCGCTGCCTGCTGCTCCGGAGAAAGGGGAGGCTGTGATGAGTGGGTTTGGGTTTCTCGGGGCTGGCAGCTAGGGGCACAGCTGTTAATACTGGGCACTCTCCGGTGGCTTCCTTTAGGACAGCCCTGCCCCACTCAGGGCCTCTGGGTCCGGTCCCCTCCCCAGGGTGACTCTGCTGACGCCTAGTGGCCAAGTGGGAGCAGAGACTTCCTTCTGTGATCATGCAGTGGCTCAGACCTGTCTCTCCTGGACGCTGGCCACCAGCTGCATGTGGCTGTTTACAGTGGACTCGCTGGAGTGAAGAAGTTAGAGACCTGGTCCCACTGTGGTGCTAGCTGCACTTCATGTGCAGAGTAGCCATGCGGACCCTGCACACCGAGCAGGCTTCCATCAACACAGTGCCCCCTCCCCCCTTCACCCCACCCTCCTACCCCCCAGATTCCCTGGGAGGTGTGTGGGGCAGGGAGAGCCCAGGCTCAGTGAGCTGGGCCCCTGGTCTGGCTTTGCCACTTCCTGGCAGCATGACCTTGGGTGGGTTCCTCGTCTCACCTGCAAAGGTGCAAAGGGAGGATACCTGGGTCTGCATCTTGCTGTCACCCAGAAGGTGAAACAAAGGACCTGGCCCATGTGAGGTGCTTAACAGTGTACATGTGTCCCCACCCGCCTTCCCCCCTGCACTGCTCTGCTCCTCGCCCTTCCCTTTCTGCTAAGGGCCTGGGTGCCCAGAAGGTCCAGTCAGTACCTTGACAGCAGGAGCTGCTGTCTTAGCCAACTGATGCCCTCTACCCTCGAGATTAGCAGAAGCCTGGGCTTGTTCTTTAAATACACTTTCACCTTGGAGTCACTTTAGGTTTACAGAAAAACCCTACAGATAGTAGACGGAGTTGTATACACCCACCACTGGTTTCCCTGTCACTGTTCATCTCATGGCCTAGGGGTCACATACTGGGCTGTGATCTGCAAGGTCAGCAGTTCGAAACCACCAGCCTCTCCGAGGGAGAAAGATGGGGCTTTCTACTCCTGTAAAGAGCTCCAGTTTCAGAAACCCACAGGGACAGTTCTCCCTGTCTTGTAGGGTCTCTTTGAGTCTGAATGGACCCCATGACTGTGTGCGTATCTGATAGGACGCTGGCACACTTGTTTAGACTCAGATGCCAGCCTCAGTCTTTACTAAGACCTGAACGCCAGGCTTTATTCAGAACCCACTGAATTCCTCGCTTTGGCCCAGGACCCATGCTGTATTGAGCTGCCACGTCACCTTGGTGGCCTCAGACCTGTGGCTGGCTCTCACCCTTTCCTGGGATTCTGTGGCCCTGAGAGGCTGGGGCACACCAGCCAGGAATTTTGTAGACTGCCCCCCAATCCTGAGGTGTCTGCAGCCTTCTCATGTCTGGATAGGTGCGGATGGTTTTTAGCAAGTGTACCACAGAGGTGAAGTGCCCTTTGCCAAGTCCTAGCAGGAGAGACCATGACACTTAGTGGCCTCCCTGGTGTATGCACCTTGGTACCTGGTCTGGGTGGTGACTTTGGGGTTTCCTGTTCCAGATTTCCCTCCCTGGGAGCCAGGCACCAAGTCCAGCTCACCCTCAAACAGGAGGGAGAATTGAATTGCACCCCCATACGTGGCCACCGGAAGCTGTGCCAGGCCCAGTTCTCCGAGAGTCAGGATCGTCAGCCCTTGGCATCCCTCTCTGTCTGGGAGGAAGGAGGGACGGGAGGCTGGAGGCACCCACTGGGTCTGTGCTACAGGGAGAAGACTGTCCCCCGCCCCGGGTCCTTGAGTTCTGGGGCAGCGGCAGGTCTGACCCTGTGGTGCCTCTTAAGGCGGAAGGTACTGAGAGGCCTGGCTGCCTGGGGCACCCTGGCCCCCAGCCGTGCCCAGTGTGTGCCCTGCTGACTCAGCGAGGAGCTGCAGAGGCTACATGGAACCCGCTGTCTGCTCTGCGGGCTCAGAGCCTGTTTCTCGCCCCGCAGGGTGCCGGCTGTGGTGAGCAATGGGGACGCTGGGGACTCGGCTTTCTCCGGGGTCCGACGTTCCAGCTGGAGGCGGAAGAGCTCCCGTCGCAGTAAGTCCCTGCCTGCCATTCCAGGTCTCTCAGACTCAGGAGGCTGGTCCCAGCGTGACCCCCTCCAGACAAAGGAGCGGGGTGTCCCTCGGGAGGGCTGCTGTGGGCTTGGTGACTGTCCCAAAGGGGACACTGGAGTGCTTGAAGTGGCCCGCTGGCCTCCTGAGCCCTATCCTGGAGGAAATGCTGCCTCAGCTATTCACCTGCCCCTCCAGCAGGCCAGGTGGCCGTGGTGCTGGGGCGGGGGACTCACAGAGTATGTCTTCTGGAGGCAGACCAGACCCAGGTGCCAGGAGAGGGGCATGAGGTCCTGCTGGCAGGGAGGAAGCAGGAGATGGGGCAAGGATTTCAGGCACAGGGATTGGCTAGGAGGTGCAGGGGAGGAGAGGAGGAGTGCGGTGGAGGAAAGGCTGGTCTGGAGGGGGAGGCGCAGCCTCTGCTGAGGGGCTGCCCAGGCAGGAGCTCATGGCCCCTACAGGGCCCTGGAGCCATGCGTTGGCGTGTACATCTTAGTCCAAAGGCCACAGGACACAATGAAAGGGGTGATGGAGTCTGGATTGGGACTCAAGCATCCTAGGACCAAGGGACACATCGCAGAACTGTCAGAGTCAGCGGGGTTGGGGCAGGTGCAGCAAGGACAGATCCTGGTCAGGGACCACTCCCTCACCCGTAAAGAGGGCAGAGATTGGGCACATGTGTTTTGGGGGGCAGGGGTGGGGCACAGCTCCTTGAATTTTCCATTTGGGAAAGTTTACCTGTTACCTAAAGCCGGATCATAGGGCGTGCCCTCTGCCTGCCCAGTGGGGAACTGGGGTGAGGGATGTGCTCACACGGATGCTGCCACTAGTCAGGGCCCTGCTGGCTGAGTTTTGGGGGACTCTCTTTGAACCCCACTCTCCCCACCACTTACTCACTGGAGCTACTGTGCCTGCTCAGGGTTATCAGCGGCAGGTGGGGCTCACCCTGGGGTCCAGGTGGCGATGCGGAGCCTGCTTTATGTTCGCTGCGGGTCTCGGGCAGACAGACAGGTCTGCGGCGGCGGCCAGGAGGAGGATGCTGTGGACGAGAGGCAGCTTGAGCCACCGGAGATGCTGGGTGGAAGCTGTCTGGGGCTCGGGCTCCGCCCGCCGGCTCCCAGCCGCAGCTGCAGCTGCGTTTCTCTGCTTGCAGGCGGCCGCTTCACTTTCCCCGCCCTGGAGGAAGATGTGATTTATGACGACGTCCCCTGCGAAAATCTGGATGCCCATCAAGCCGGTATGGCCCCTCTCAGTTCTCTGGGGATCCCGGGGTGGGGTGTGGGGTCTTCCCCTTCCATCTCCTTCCTTGGCCCCACCCCATCCAGTGCCCCTCCTTCTGGCTGGTGTAAACTGCTGCGGGCGGCCAGGGCATGGTTCGCGGTGGCCAGCCTGGCTGGCTAGGGGTCTGGGCTCCATGGGCAGGGGGTCGGGGCCTCCTGGCTATGGGTCCCCTCACCAGCATCTCATCTCTCCAAGTCTTGGCTCTTGTTACAGGGAACGGGGCGCTTGCTCTTTCCCAGGGCCATGGGGGGAGGTGAAAGGATGGTGGAGCTAGACCGTGCAGTAGCTAAAGCTTGGGGGTGGCGGTGGGGGGCAGCGGGAAGGAGGTCAGCCCTGTTGGATCTGGCAGTTCGGGGCCACAGTGAGCAGTCAGAACCTCTCTGGCTGGACATGAGTTAGGCAGCTGGGTCTGCATCAGGGAATCTGTTCAAACACTCCGTGTTCCCATGTAACAAAGAAACTGGGATTC